GATTGTGAACAGCATACGTTAGGCATTATAATGTCAAGAAATCTCAGTTGATAAGTATACGAGGAGCAGTGACGGTCATCGAACATGTCCATTGGACACGGTCCTTTTTCTTTCACTTTAGTTTCCACGGGCTCCCTTGCTCAGCAGTATGCGCACCCTAACACTACCCTGCACCCACATACTCCACATCCTCAGCCTTCAGCTACCCCCACTGGACAGCAACAAAGCCAACATGGTGGAAGTCATCCTGCACCCAGTCCTGTTCAGGTAAGGAGAAACTTGGGCCTGCATGGAGCTGCCTCCTTGTTCTGGCTACTGAGCACTGTCTTCAGAGTCAGGCAAGGTGCAAGGCACCACAGGCTCAGAACACACAGCACAGCCACCAGCATTCAGCTACTCACCTATGGAGTTGGGGTGGGGGTTCAAAGGGGAGATTTAAGGGCTGGGGTTGTGGCTCAGCAGTAGAGCACTCACCTAGCACGTGTGAGGCCTTGGGTTCGAGCCTCAGCACCACAAAAATAAATAAATAAAATTAAGGTATTGTGTCCAATTACAACTAAAAGATATTTTTAAAAAATAAAAAGGAGATTTAAGGTATATGATGAGACTAAGGTGATTAGATAAGCTTTGAAAAATCTAACTTCATGTGAAGTTCATAATTTATCATAAATTCAGATTTGCTTGGGACATCAATCCTAAAGTTTATGTGATGAAATTTTTCCCTTATTAGCTTCTTTAGTCATATTTATGAATGCAAGTAGTTAGGAGTCTCTTTGACAGGGAGAATCTGTCAGTTCCCTCTGCTTGATGTAACTCCCAGTCTGAGAGTCAGGCTTTAGGAATGTCTCTGGGCAGGAGGCACCACACATCCTCACTGTTCTACCCCTGGACTTTGCTGTGCTCTCACCTCACGTGTGCCTAGGAGAGCCCATTTTCAGGTGCAAAGCACTGTTTGTGTGGCCCTTAATCTCACGTTTTCCCCATTGCTTTGCAGCACCATCAGCACCAGGCCGCCCAGGCTCTCCATCTGGCCAGTCCACAGCAGCAGTCAGCCATTTACCACGCGGGGCTCGCACCAACCCCACCTTCCATGACACCTGCCTCCAATACGCAGTCGCCACAGAATAGTTTCCCAACAGCACAACAGACCGTCTTTACAATCCATCCTTCTCACGTTCAGCCGGCATATACCAATCCACCCCACATGGCCCATGTACCTCAGGTAATCCAGCATTAGCCTACTTCCTGTGAAGATGGAGTAGGGTGTAGAGGTGCTCAAATAAGCAGCAAAGAGCCAGGTGCTCTCAAAGCTAGGAAACCCTGTGTGTGGTGCCATTTGCCTGTCTCCTTTCCCTGCTCAGTACACGTGATCTGGCCCTCAGTTAAATGTCGGTGTGATTTTGTAATGGGATCAGTGAAGTTGCTTACTTACTGGTCAGTCCCTTAACGTTTCCCAGCTGAGACCTTTAAAGTATCTTTCTTTGACTCTGGAATGTACCCAGTCCTTTCCTCCCTGTGTCTGCTTTGCTACGTCTCTTTAGCTTTACTCCTATATATACATGTGTGTGTGTGTGTGCATATATATACACACCCTTCCACACATACACACAGAAGCCTGGCAGGGTTGGAAGGCCTTCACAGATTCTCAGCTGAGTCAGCTTGAATGCTAATCAGAAGTCTTTCCAGTTGTTTTTCCTGGTTATCCCTCCATCTGTTTAGACCATGTGTTGTACTTCTTGAGAGAACTTGGCCTTGTACTTTGGTGCAGTGTAAGTAGAAGTTGGAAACACCCAGGTGCCCTGGAAGCATTTTGGAGCACCTCCAGTATAAGCTTCCAAAGGTTGAAAGGTGTGGTTGCCGTCTGCATCAGCTGCTGACAGAGGTCCAGTGCAGGCCTGTGCCAAGTTGGATTGTCATGAGGAGAAGGAACTGCACTGAAGTTGGGCTCTAGTGCTGTCCTGGAAGGCCCTCCCTGGAGCTGTTGAGGGTGACCTGGCTGTATTAGGTGTCTTTGCTGTTAGTTTATAAAAAAAACTCTCTTAGGTGGGCTTAGCGAGACCCTATCTCACTGAATTCCATTTCCTGTCAAATAGTGTGCCAGTGAGGCTCTGGCAAGGTGTGGGCTAGAGTCTGGACACAGTTGGAGCTCTCTCAGAATGTACCTTGTAACCAGTGGTCCACAGTGCAGGAGAGTTGACTTCCTCACCCTGTAGAGTTCAGGTTCTGTAGTGTAGTGCACTGCAGTTTATTTGTTCCTGCTAATGGGGAGGGAGCGGTTTGTTCAGTGTGGGTCAGAGTGCTTTGGTGGAATCAGCTTCATGAGAACTGGGATCTTGTAGGTGCCTAGCAGAAGATGGTGGCTAAATAAGTATGTGAATTCAAATATAAGTTGGGGTTCCAGAAAACCTTACTTGTTGCTTTTGTGCAGAAAGAGTAAAAAGGTTAATGCAGTGAAGCCCAAATATGCCATGGGCCTATTTGAATGTGAGTTAAATTGCATTTCATTTGAGGATTATGGTCTAGAACAGTGTGGAGTCTGTGAGGCAGGAAACGAAGGCTCTTCCTGGCCCTGCTAACCCCTTGCAGAGCTGGGTTCCAGCTATTTGGGCTTAAAATCTCCTTTCCAACTTGAACTTGCTATCACTTGGTACAGAGACACTGGACTGGCCCAGATAGCTTCAGATGACTCCTTCCCATAGCACTGGAGCCATTACCTGCAGCCGCCGGAGCCGCCGCCTCCTCCTCCTCCTCCTCCTGCTCCATCAGCATACCTTTTAGAGAGTAAAGAGAACCCAAGAATTCCTTCTCCCTGCCTGGTGAACAGGCCACAGCAGAGGGGGTGGGCCACGTGAAGAGAGGGCTAGGATAACCCCTACGATGGCTTCTGACAGTCCTGCTTATCAGGTAGCAACCTGCTTTCCTGTTTGAAAGGAATGCTCTGTGTAAAATGACTTCAGGCCTCACAAGGAAGCCTGATTCTGAAGCACCATTGTGTCTCATGTAATAGTAAGTTGAGGAAGCTACCCTTGCTCAGGTCAGGCCTGCTCTTTTGTGAAGACCTTGCCCCCCACACAGATTCAGTGATGAGAAACACTGGCAATCAGGTCGTTGCAGCCCTGGCATTTACTCAGGCTTACATGGTGCCTACTCCCTCAGCCCTGCAGGATATATCAAAAGGTGAACCAGGGATTGTCCCCAGAGGAGGAAAAAAAAAGGGGGGGCCCTGAGGCCCACCCTTGTCCTTTCCTGAATGTCCCAGACCAGTGAGAGGAACAGTTGACATGTTGTTTAAGCCGGAGATGTTGCCTGTATGCGTAAAAGAGCTCTCTGTTTCAGGCTCATGTACAGTCAGGAATGGTTCCTTCTCATCCAACTGCCCATGCGCCAATGATGCTAATGACGACACAGCCACCCGGCGGTCCCCAGGCCGCCCTCGCTCAAAGTGCACTACAGCCCATTCCAGTCTCGACAACAGCGCATTTCCCCTATATGACGCACCCTTCAGGTGAGGCGTGTGTGTGCAGGGGCCGCCGGGGCACCCCAAGCATTCTGCTCGCACAGGTTGAATGGCAGGCAGGGCCAGCGCTTCTAGCCCCGTACTCAAGAATAGCAAGACCCGTCTAAGTGTGCACAGGAGGGACTGTGATGATCAGTCAAGGTCAGGGCCTGAGGCTTCCAGGAGCCGAGTCTGTGTGTGTTCTGATGGTATACAGGATTTGGCTTGACGAGAAGCAGCAGCAGCAGCAGCATTCCGGATAGCTGACGCATGCCTAGGACTCAGTTGGCCTTCCTTGTTATGATAGGCTGGACAGGGCAGTGTGTTCCTTCCTGAGTCCCAACAGGCTGACATGTGGGGGGTTATTACCATGGCAGAGTTTGATTGTAGCGTGGAGACCACTGATGAGCAAGTGCTGTGTGCGGAGTGGTTTGAGTGTAGCAGCAGCGCCAGCCTATGCCCCGGCCGGGGAGGATACCTGCGATTGTGCTCTGGTGCTGGATGGCTGCCATGGCGATATTTCAGTCTCACCTGTCACTCTGAAAGCAATACTGTGCTTGGCTAAGATTTGGGGAGGGGTACATTAAGGCCTTTTCTCCTGCCCCTGCGCAGCAGGTCTTCTGGGAGTTTTATCTGAAGTGGTTTTACGTCTGACTGGTTTGTTTCTACCCACCCACCCCCTATCCCTCCCCACCTTGGTACAGATGGGAGGGGGCAAGTGAATAAATTCTGAGTCCTATTCAGCTAGTACAAGGATAGTTCACAGGATAGTGCTGCAGAGGCACTAGGCTAATATTCAGTGTTGCCAGTGTTCTGTTTAAATATTCACTTTTCTTTCTTACAGTACAAGCCCACCACCAACAGCAGTTGTAAGGCTGCCCTGGAGGAACCGAAAGGCCAAATTCCCTCCTCCCTTCTTCTGCTTCTACCAACTGGAAGCACAGAAAACTAGAATTTCATTTATTTTGTTTTTTAAAAAAAATATATGTTGATTTCTTGTAACATCCAATAGGAATGCTAACAGTTCACTTGCAGTGGAAGATATTTGGACCGAGTAGAGGCATTTAGGAACTTGTGGGCTGTTCCATAATTCCATATGCTGTTTCCAAGTCCCGCAAGTACCCCAGCTCTGCTTGCCAAAACTGGAAGTTATTTATTTTTTAATGGCCCTCAAAAAAGTCATGAACACATCAGCTAGCAAAAGAAGTAACAAGAGTGATTCTTGCTGCTATTACTGCTAAAAAAAGGAAAAAAAAATCAAGACTTGGAACACCCTTTTACTAAACTTGACAAAGGTTCAGTAAACTCTTACCGTCAAACTGACGGATTATTATTTATAAATCAAGTTTGATGAGGTGATCACTGTCTACAGTGGTTCAACTTTTAAGTTAAGGGAAAAACTTTTACTTTGTAGATAATATAAAATAAAAACTTAAAAAAAATTAAAAAATAAAAAAAGTTTTAAAAACTGATATCAAGTTAGTGTGTGTTTGTCTAAGCTACTTCGTGTACTGTAGAAGACTGGCTATGGAGGCAGGTGGGCTGCTTGCTACTTTAACTTCCTGGAAGGTCGTGGCTGTGAATGACTTTTCTTCTTCACCTTTAGTTCTGGTTCAAGGTATCTCTAGAAAATGACAAGACTGAGATATTCTCTTTGGTGGATTAGCAGTCTGCTTCAGAAGGAGGAAGGCTGGCCAGAGTTGGGCAGCACTGAAAGTCCACAGCCTCAAGCTGGCGCCGATTCTGTAAGCTTTCTTTTTCATATCTCCAGAAACAAAATGTATTAGTCAGAAGCTGTTCCAATTTAGACATCTGTTTTACCAGTAGAGGGCAGGAGACAAAAAAACTGCAATAAAATCAAGCATGATAGTGCCCACCTATAGTCCCAGAAACTTGGGAGGCTGAGGCAGGAGGATCAGAAATTTGAAGCCAGCCTGGGCAACTTAGACCCTGTCTGCAAAAATAAAAAAGGCTGGAGTTGTAGCGCAGAAGTATTTGTTAGTTTGTGGGAGGAAAAGGGGAAAAGCAAGTATTAATAGAGAATATAGTCTTAATAGCGTTCAGACATTGTGGCAACAAATGAAGATTCTGAAAAATTTTTAATTCACATATAGCAACTTGTACATTATAGCAAAATTTGCATTATTCAAGAATAAGTTACTTGTACAGTACATAAACAATACATAAAGATTTTCCAAATTCCTTCTGCTTATAACGATACAAGATGAATCCACTCTGTTATCACTATGTGCTGCTTATTCCAACCAAACTCTGGATGTCTGATGTGTGTTCTTGTTAAAAGGCAGTGGATAATATACTTTGAAGATGTTAGTGCTAATATGACATTTGCAATAGACTTAGCCCTGAATAAAAAGCATGAAGGAATCTCAGGCAACTTTCAGGGAAGAGAAGTTCAAGGTCTTGATTTAAGTTAAGAAACTGTTATGTAAAAATAGTGTTCTCTGGCCCAAGATTTTAATGATTGCTATTCCTTTTTCCTACACGGTCCAGAAATGATCAAAGGCAGAAGATTTATACCAGATAAAGCCATATGGATTGCTGGTCTAAAATTCAAGGCAGGTTAGTTGACTTAATTCTTTGGTGCTGGTGACTGTTAGTTTGTAAAAATTCAGTAGTCAGAAGGAAGTGGTGGTGTTGGGAGCTGTCGAGTGATACTTATGGTCCATAAGTAGGGCTAACTGGACAAATCCTGCCACTTAGTGTCCAGTTTGGTGCTCAGAGCCTTGCTCTCAGTTGCTGGCACGGCCTCACCTTGCCAGTGAGGACTGGCAGAAGGGAAATGTGGACTGTGGTAGAGTCAGCAGGGTATCTGCCCCTCACTGGTGAGAGTATCTACCCTGGGGACAAACTGTTCCTCTGCTTTAGCAGAAAGGTATCAACTTAGTGTCACTTTTTCCAGGGCCATGAAGGGACTTTTTGTCAGAATGTATGTGAGCCATCCTGGTAACCTTGACACAGGTAGTATTCTGGGGACTTCCAATTGTCTGTCACAAAATTTTGGCAACCTGTAGTTTAGACCTGCTAAGTTTGCAGTACCTGGTGGCACTACTTGAGATGTGTATATTGAGCAACTGCTGAGAAGTGAATGCCTCTAGTTGGAAGATGTTTGAATTTATGCCTGGAAGGAGGGCATTCACTTGGTTCACTATCCACCTGTTCCCTTTCCTATGCACATAGGAGAAAATCTGGATCAGTGACCAATCAGAATTGCCTTTCTGTCTTAGAAAAGAAATTCCAGAATGTTGCTTACTTCTTCAGTGCGCACTTAGCTTTTTTTTCTTCTTCAAGAGAAGCCTGCTTATAGAAAATAAAGACCAACATCCTTAAAAATGGACCATGGGCTGGGTGTGGTGGTGCTTAGCCTGTGATCCCAGTAACTTGGAAGGCAGAGGATTGCAAATCCAAGATCAGCCTCAGCAACTTAGTGGGGCCCTTTCTCAAAATAAAAATTGAAAAGGGCCAGGAATGTGGCTCCATGATAAAGAGCCCCTGGGTTCAATCCCAAATATTTATAAACAAACAAGAAAAATGGACCACAGCTCTACTGTATGATCCATGAACACACGAGGAGAGTTTTTCAGAGTGGTACAGAGGTGGCTGCTTCTCCAACCCCCTAGGAATCCCCAGAAGTGAAAGTTTCACCTCTTGGAGTAACTAGCAGGAACAGACCAATCCTTTCCACCAGATAAGGAAGGCAGTACTGTTTGTTCGGGGCCGAGGTTTCATGTCACTTCTGAAGCTGGGAATGTTAAGCTGTGCTGAAGCCTCTGTGGTAAGCCTAGTGGCTGTACTGAATGGTCTGCTAATGTGCAGGAGCAGCTAACAGCACTGTCACTGCCCCCTCTGTTTATGAGCCTACATGTGGAAGGTTCTGGACAGAGCCCATCCCATATGAATTGTTTCACTTGTGAAGGGCAAGTATAGATGGAGGCCTGACCTCCCTGACAGACTGTGCCCAAGTGTGCTGGGACAGAATGCTGGCTATGAGCTATGGCACCAGATTCCTAGCTTCCATTTTGGCTCAAAAAGGAGCCTAAAGCCTACTTAGGGGATAATTTAGTAAGCCACTGGGGGCCTCTGAGCTAGCCTTTTGGTTGAAGATTGACTAAGGGTCCAGGAGCCCTTCTTGCCTGTCCCTCCCCCAAACACCCTACCCCCAGTGAACTGAAGTCTCTGTGAAGCTGCTGTAAACCGGAATCCAGTTTATTTATAAGGCACCAGGGTAGAACTGTTCCCTGCCACCCTACTTCAGGAATGGCCTGAACTTCCCTGAAAGGGTGACACACTGCCCTCTGTACATTTAGGAAGGACAGTAGCTACTCAGCAGCTGTCCTGAGGACACCAGGCTGGCTCCGAACACGAGCACGTCAAGCAGGGCTTGCATAGCTGTCCCTGACTGCAGAAACAGCCCGGGTGCTAGTTGAAACAGTGCAATGAAGTAAGCAATGGTTTAGTTTTGAAACCTGAATCCTTTAACAAAATCTGAGGTAAAGTGTTTAAAATCGTTTTTGACTTTTAGCTTGTCTCTCTGACAGAGCTTTTGTCCTAAAGCTGAGAGTAGAAGCAGGAGTAGGAGTGGTCACCTGTGGCGTGGACCTGCCACGGGACTGCTTTTACAATGTGAAAATCCAGGGCTTGTTAGTGTTTTGGGCTTCCTGGTGACAACCCCCCCCCCCCCAGTAGAAAGTCTGTCAGCTCTGACAGTGTCAGTGAAAAGGAACAAGGTTCCACTGCCAGCTCCAGCCCTCACCCCAGCTCCTCTGAGTGACGGGCCTGGTCTCAGGGACCCAGGGCAAGAGCTAGCAGCATCTGTGGACAAGAACTACACCTGTAAACAATAAGAAGTAAGCCAGGTGATGGACGGAACTCACACGGAGGCCCTTTAACAGGCCAAATAGAAGGGTCACGTCCAAACTGGAAAGAGCAGTTGACAGTGTCCCTTAAATCTCTCTCTGGAAGGAAGGAAAGATCATTACATTCACAAGGCCACATTTCTGCTTGTGCTCCTGGGGCAGCTGCGGAGGCCTGAATCCCTCGCTGTCCATCAGAGAAGTGTGTACTGGTTGTCTATGGCCCGAAGGTGGCTCCGCGAGGATGAGTCCATCTCATAATCTGAGTCCCGGGCTCCACTCACAGGCTCCTGCTCCAGGTGTCGCAGGCTGTTGGCCAGTTCCTCGGGTGAAGGCACCAGGTGGAAGATCTGCTCTGGGGGTGACGATCGGCCTGGGAGACTCTCTGGGCCAGACCCCCTGGGACAACCAGAAGAGCTGAGGTGGGGAAGGCCCAGCTCCGAGTCCCAGCAAGGGAGGGAGAAAGGGAAGAGGACAATGTTGCTGGAACCTAGGGTAAGGACCGAGAGACCATGCTGTCAGAACACAGAACCACCTCTCTGCACTGTACGGTGTGCAGCCAGCTTTCACCCCCTCTGTAGCTCCCCATGCCAGCCACCCGCTTCAGCGAGGGTCCTTAGTTGTCACACCTGGTGGCTGGGAGACGACTACCACGTAGCTGGACAGCCGGACGTCGCAGGCAGCACCACATTCCAGTGGGATAGGTGAGCGCTGGAAATGATGCAGCATGTCCACCACTGAGGGAAAGTGCAGGTGTTGCACTCGGCACTGGCCTCGCTCCGTGAGGGACAGGCGCAGGTGCTGCAGGACAGGGAAGGCAGGCTCACACCGTCCCTGGACTCCAGGGACAGCGTTGGCACAGCCCCCACCTGCCCTGTTCCATACCTTGGCTCTGCCCTGGAAGTTGAACGTGAGCACATACTCCCCACGCCGCGACTCGCTCTGCCGCACCAAGAACACACCATGGGCATCAGGACCCTGCCGCTGCACCAGCTGGGCCGCCTGCACTCTGGAGATGGGGCCATGGAACCAGGGGTAGCAGGACAGGAAGTGATCTGTTTTCTGGCAGACTGGGTCCAGCAGTCCCCCGGGAGAAGCACCTGACGTAGAAGATGGTTTAGTGGTGATTGAGTGGGTGCCACACGTTCAGCGTACCAAGGGAGGGAAGCACCTGACCCTACTTACCTTGGCTTAAGGAATCTCTGCTTCCCCTCCGGGAGCTGGATGCGCTGCGCTCTGGGATGGTGGGAATGTGCAGTTCTGCATCTGTGCTCTCCAGCCTGCCAGAGAAGAGGCCATGCTTAAGGACCCGGTGGGTCTGGGTGGACAGGTGGGCTGTGCAGGGGCGGGCCTCACCCTCGGCCTGCGCTCTCCCAGAGCTCAGCCATCCACGAGTTCAGCTGTTGCTCGTCTCCCACCTCGAAGATGATGTCTGTCCGGTCCTTCACCTGGCAGAGCAGAAAGGGACAGCTATGTAGGTCTGAGAAGTATCTTATCACCCCCTTGGTGTGGAAGCCCCGTCACTCACCCGCAGCACAAAGGTGTAGAGGTTGTCTGGCATCTCAAGGCGTGTGCATCGCCGGACCTCCTGGATGCTGGAGCAAGCTGTTTGGAGCTTGGGCTTTGAACTCTAGGACAGCAAGAGGGGGTGATCAAGCCTTCTCCCTGAGGTCCCCACTCCATCTGTCTGCTGCTCCCTGGAGGGTTTGTGGAGTGCTTACTGCTAGCACCACCTTCCCCTGAGATGCTAAGAATGCTGTGCTGAGGCCTCCCTGCCTGGACCTATGGACACTGCAGCTCAGACACTTAACTGACACCCTTGTCCTGGTGGGTACACAGAGCTCTGCCCACCATCCTCATCACACGACACCTCAGTGGGGAGAACTTAGCATGACCACCCCAAATTAAAATCAGCTGTGGAGCCACACTCTCTCCCAGGACCGTCAGGTGGCCTTTTAAACTCAGCGTGGCGGCTCTAGCCAGCCACTTTGGGGGTTTCCTCAGAAGGGAGATCCCCTCCCCACCTCTTGTGACAAGACTGATCCTGAGGAAGGTCAGAGGTTAGGAGGAGCCAGAGATGAAATGGGTAATGGACGGCTGACTGGGTTTCCCTCCCTCCATCAGTGGCTTGTTCCCTAGGGGCCAAGAGACAACCAGGTGCTCCTGGAAAAGACCACAGCCCCTGCCAAGCAGCAGAGGAGGGTAGGGGTGGCAAGGAGGCAGGCTCAAAAACAACTTCCTGGTGCCAGGGGAGCCACCTCCACCCAAAAGGTGCTGGAAGAATCCACCCGAGTGGGCTGGCCACCTGCCTGCCGCTTTAGGGGATGCTGATAGAAAGTGGGGGCCACCCAGGTTTAGATATCCGGGGAGGAAGAGCAGTGACCCTAGGGCTTACTGCTGTGAGGGAGGGAGAGTGGCTAGAAGCCACACAACTAGCAATCCCAGGCCCACAGGACCAGCATCACTGGGGCTTCTTCACCCCATTCCCACAGCAGGCCACTCCTCACACTCCCCTTTTCCTTCCTGCCCCAGCTGTAAGGCATTGATGCACACTTCCGAATTGGCACTGTCTGCACACATCCCTCCTTTCTGGCTCCCCCCACCTTCAGGGTCGCTGGAGGAAGTAGGCCAGGCCCAGAGGGGAACAGCCCTGGTCTTCCTTTCAGTTCCTCAATCTCCTGTAAGCCTGAGACTAAACAGCAGAGCTGCTGGTTTCATTCTGATGGGGCCTCCCTTCCAGCTCCGCCCCAGGGGCTGAGGTACTGCTGAGCAGGCAAGCCAGGGGAAAGAGGTTCCACCTCCTTGCCTACGGTGGCCGGTTCTCCCCCAGCTCCCACACAGCTGTGTGTGTGTCTGGAGAGACGATGAACTCAGGCCAGTGTGCCAGCACCAAGCTGCCTATTCTATATAGTATGTGACACCAGGGGCTGGACCCAGGTCACTGGCCCCTGTGTGTGGACTGGCAGCAGCCCATCTGCGCTACAGAAGTAATGGGCAAGCCCAGGCTCCCTATGTTCCATCTGCAGGCAGCACCATTTCAGGCATTTGAGGGGTGAGCAGCAGAGTGGCACCCACCACATCTTGCCTTCTGGGGAGCACTTTTGCTCAGACCCACATCCAGAAAGCTGATCTCTGTGGCCAATCCAGTGGGAATGACCCATTTCTTTCCTGTGACTGCTGGGAAGCTCAAAGTGAAAGACAGACCAGCTCTGGCACTGATCCAACAGTGGAGCTTGCATTTCTGCAGCTACTTTTCTCCTGGACTTCATAGTTATCTTGCCCTCTAGTTTTTAGGGTCCAGCCCTGACCCTGCCACTTCCTGTATAAGGGCAAGAGACTCAGCCTCCTCCAGGCTGTGATTGTGTTAGCTGTGCAGCCATCTTTGGAGGTAGGATTGCAGCTCCGTGAACACTTTGCAAAGCCCTGGGTTCCATCCCCAGCACCACATGCAAAAAAAAAAAGAAAATGGGGGTGGAGGCTGACTCCTCATGAGCGTTGCCAGATTTCCAGGCTGGAGGGTTTGAGCCCATGTATAACTAGTGTACAGATAGAGAATGGATTTTGCTTCTAGAGCCAGCCAAGCCCTGGGTTTGTCCCAGAGGGATAGCAGTAAGAAAGGCAGGTGCACAGCTATGGACCAAAGGTCCCTCTTCCTCCCAGGGTGGCTCTGGGGCCCCCAGCCTGCCTGCAGGAAACACTGACACTGGAGGCAGAACTTTCATCACCTGCTAGGCCTCGAAGCTAACTTGAGAAATAATTCCTGTGCATCAAGGAACAGGGCCAGCACAGAGCTGCCTTGGCACCTTCCAGAAGCTTCTACTCTTCCGTGTTCCCATAGCCACCACAACTGGGGTCTGTCAAGCACTTGGCAGCCAGCAGGACCTGCTGCCCACATAACACATGAGGGGGCTGGCGCAGCAAGGTTAGAAGGCTACACGTGGCTGAATGTACACAGATGTGGACCTTTTGGAGAAGCAGGCCTGCTAGTCCCCCCTCTACAGGAAGCTAGGAGAAAGGAATGGGGGGGGGGCAGCACCTATCCATGCCCAAGTGGCCCAGACAACCCTGTGCTGAGCAAGGGCAGGCAGGGCCCTCACAATATTTCACCAGCCTCCGAAGGCCAGGCCCTATATAGCATGTGACATCCAAACTGGCCCACTGGGGTTCCCAGGCCACACCAGTCCTCTGGCAGTCTCATTTCCCCTAGGGCTGCTGAATCCTCCTTTGGGACATGAAGCAGAACAGCCCCAGAGTCACTCCACCATCCTTGCTCTCCCACTCACCACCTCTGAGACCCTGGGCATGGAGCCAACCGGTGCCTCAACTTCCTTCAGTAACAGGGACAGCAAGCAGGTCCTACTGACCCAGGACTAGAGGCAGGCTCAGTAGTATTGGATTAAGCCTGAAAAGGTTCAAAGACAATTCCAGTGTCATGGATGGCTGATAAATGAATGAGCACTGCCATGTGAAGTCCTTAATCCAGTCTTACTGGTTGGAATAAAAAAGCAACCTATTTTGTATTGTAGTTTTTCTCCGAGCTTCCTAGCAGCTAAGACAACTCCAAGAGTTGGTGGTTAAAGACTGAGAAGTCTTACAGCAGAACTCATGCATTCCCAGGACTTTGTCCTCTTTTTTGTAGACTTTATTGTCACCCATACCAAGATATCAGGGGGTCAAGGTGAAGAAACTTCCTAAACAAGGTTCCTTAGCCAGTCTCTGATGAATAGCATGGAAATTGAGCCTAAAAGGTAAAGGCCACCCAGAATCCTGCTCAGAAACCCCTAGATCTGCACACCACACAGCATCCTCCTTTCCTCAAGGTCTGAGTCAGCCAGTCCTGGGCCTGAGTCCCTGATCTGCCTTCTGGAGGGGACAGACACCCCTTCTTGCCTTGTCCCCAGTTTAGCAATAGGGTAACAATGCCTCTGCCCTCCCATGAGAATCTGGCCATACTTAGTGTGTGCACAAGAGCTCTCAGGGGACTGGCATTGGCCAAGAGACACACTGGGCTGCAAGAACGATGCAGAGAGGCTCCGCACAGGAGCAGCTGCATCAGCGCACCTCTGCCCGGCACGCCCAGGTTCAGGAGGCCTCCCTCCACCTTCTACCATTGGGTCAGGCAAAGTAAGTGGCTGTGTTTGCTGAATTTCGACAAAGTGGAGGAAAAGCAAGGCCCAGAGGCTGGCAAGCACAGGCCATGGGAGGACGGAGCCATTATGGGACTGCGGGCCAGTGACTTCCAGAACATTTAGAGTCACAGGCCACCAACATGTTTAAAATTTTCTAAGAGGAAATTAACAGAGGACTAAGGAGCAGGCATGTCCCAGAGGAAAGGAATCCTTAATATCAATTAGCCAGATTCATGAGGGAGAAAACTCTCTCCCTGTCCTGGGCCATCTTGTGTCTGGCAATATGTGTGGGAGCTCACGTGATCCTCATTGAGCCCACATCACAAATGAGACAGAGGCTCAGAGAGGGTGCTGCGACCTGGCCACCTCTGGAAGTGAGAGGAGGCACAGCAGGGAAGCTGGACATGTCCTCCCCAAGCACCAGGGAGCCCCAGGAGACTTGGAGGAGGGGAAGGTCTGGCAGGCTAATCCCTTGACACAGAACGGTGGGTGTGGACCAGAGACCAAGCAAGGGGGAGGGAGAGTCGGGTAACATCCTGCACCCCAAAGGGTAGGACAGGTGGGGCTGTCCTGACTTGCACTCGCGGAGACATCCAGGGTTCGCTACCTCCCACCCCATCTCCTGCTCAAAACTTGCCCACAGCCCACTCACCTTGACCCTTGTCAGTTCTTTGAGCTCACCTAGTCTCTCCAACCCCAGCCACACCACCCTGCTGCTCCTGAAACAGACCAAGACACTCAGGCTGTCACTTCTACTGTCCCCTACCTGCATCTTCACAACCTAGGCCACTTCTCACCTGACCAGGTGTGATGGCAGTCGCCACCATGCACTGTGTGTTGCCTTGCCCTAGCTGGCTGTCCATGCCAGCGCTCATTCCTCTTCTGAGCTCTTCGGGGACTTGGTATTTGCCCTCCCGGCATCCTCAGCACGGAGCCCAGAGCCTGGTAGGTTGGTAGTGCTCACTTTCTACAACAAGGATTCATCCTTGGAATGCCAAAGCATCTTGGGTGCTAGGGATCAGTGGGGCCGGCTTGCCCAGATGAGGACTACAGCTGAGTGATGGGGACAACTTCCAGCCACTATGGGCAGGCTGAGGAGAGGGGCAGGATGGGACTTCCTGCGCTTTCCCCTAAGGCCAAGGCAGAGGCACTGAGAGGAAAGGCTTAGGTGCGGCTATTGCCCTGTAGCAGTGGACAGCAGGCGGAGGCAGGGAGGAGCCAGGACTCTGGCCTCATGTGCCCAGCCCCACAGGACATTACCTGGCCACCTGGTGGTAGAGACTGCTTGTGTGAGGCTCATCTCAGCAGAGAAAACCTCCATCCCACAGGGAGCCCCACCAACACCCAGGCATTGCTATCAGGCAGGCCAGTTTCCTGATGACACAGCTGCCTTCTGCTGACTGGGAGTCCCTCTAGGTGGAGAGGCCATGTTCCCAGCCAGGCCCCAGGGAGGTGCAGGAAGCTTGCCCGTGCATGTGGGCAGCAGGGGTGAGGTGGGGCT